TCCTTCTGTTTGTCGTCCTAAAGAGAAGGAGCTCTGCTGACCAGGTAACACGACCTGCTTTGCTGTGGCGCACAGAAAAGGGGTTCCCGACGATGAATCGCCAAACTTTTGAGTTCGATTTGGAGGAGGTTTTTTACCACTTTTTTTAGCACATTCCGAACCATGCGACCATCAGAGGCAAGGAACTTTTTATGCCTCAATACAGATGCACGTTCATGGCTTATAACCAGTTAGAAATCTTGTCAGTCCTTCGGTAGTCCTATGCGCATCGCCAGGAAGATGACAACGCCAATTTACCTATAACTAGCAATACACTCCATCTCACCAATGCCTGCATTGGTCAATTCGAGTAAGTAATAATTCTGCTCAACCAGTGATTCGCAGTGCCTCTGGTGTACACGGCAACGGCAGTAGTTCTTTGAATTAGTAGCTTACCCTCAATTTCAGAGATGCCTCTTTCCAATTTCCAGGGCAAGCGAACAGTTTTCTCTTATTCAGTGCAAATCCCCTTGAGCTTCAGTGAAACCAGCTGATAAACAGGCCCCAATCGCTGACTTGCGAACAGCACATGCAAAACCTGGAGTGTTCCAAGTATTCCTGGAGTGTCCTGGAGTGTTCAACGCAAAATGAGCCAGGGGAACGACCATGCTGTTTGACAAGAGCGCATTTTAGCGACGAACTTCCCCTTGACCCATCTTACTGAAAGGGACCGTAAAGGGTAATTAAAAGGTGAAATAAAAATGCGCTATCTTCTTGAGAAAAAGGAGGTGTGAGGCAAACTCATTGTTTTCAGTGGTTTAGTATGTGCGTTCAAGAGCAGACTGTCGTACAGGTCAAAGGCAGCGTTCGACGACCAACAACTAAGCAATAAAGTAACGTAGACAGAGCTGTCTCAGTCTGCTACAATTAGTCGTGAAGCCGTTTAATGAACCTCGGAAAGGCCGAGGGATGGCGCAGCGAAAGCAGCCATGTGACGTTAAAGATATTTTGGACGAAATGACTGTAAGCCACCTATCAGTGTTTATCCGTAAAAGAAAAGTCAGAAAATTTTTTCATGGCACCACCTATTCTCTGAACAGCGGATGATCACAAGTCCAAGTGATTCTGCATGATGTACATACATACACTGCACATACGTTGTACATATATTGCATTATTGAAATGTGTAATCAAGGCACCAGTGTGCCTAGTTGCTAGCCGTCACAGCTCCTGTTACGGATGTGTGAACTACCAGATATGGAGATTAGATACTATAAATAGACAGTCGCAAACAGGCAACAATGGTACCACGAGGGTTTGGCTAGATTCGAACTCAGAGAGATTGACTGTGAAAAAGTCACAATGTCCAAAGATAGTCTCATTTCCAGTCGAAAGTAAACCGCCCCTTGGGAAAAGACGGCCAATGTTACCGGTGCCTTATGATTAGACGTCAAGGGCCATAAGAAACTACTTCAATAAACACCCGTCCGTCTGTACGAAATTTCTCAGATCACGGTTAGCCTTGCCGATGGGTAGCAAGACTTCGTTCGCCATGACAACACGAGCAAATTGGCCTCAGTAACCTCTGCGTTTCTCAACTCGTTTCACGGTCGCGATTCGGTGTTAAGTTGACGAGAGGTTGCTAAGAATCTTATGTGAAAGGCAAGGCCACCATCTGGTAAACGGATCCAGATTTCTCTGGCCGTGTGAACTCACAAGCATAGAGCACTGCCGATAGACCAAAAATTGAGGAAAAGTCAAGGATGGCCTGAGACACCGTGATTTCAACGAGAAACTACGGCGGAGGGAGATCGAATTGCATCTGAAAAGACAGTGCTTTGATTCGGCTAGGAAGAAAAGAGGGCATGAACGTTATAGAAGGATTCAGATTTATGAGCAGCAGCAGTTGGTTCTCCAAACTCGTTTCCTGCTATGTTCAGTTCACAAAATGCAGGGGGGGTGATGTACCTCCAACTCAGCAAGAAAATGACCTTACAGATTGTCCAAATCTATGCTCCCTCAAGTATAGCCGACGAGAAGGAAGTGGATGAATTCCATCAAGAATTTTAACAGGAGTTGATCCCAAAGTCCTGGTATACCCTCGTTATGGGAGACTTCAATACCGATGTCAGACAAGGAAAAGCCGGCGAAAAGTCAACAGGTACCGCGCTGGAGAGCGAAATGAGCTCGGAGAGGCAGCTGGTGTTCATGAAAGAAACGAAACATCTATACACGGACAATACCTCATTCAAGTAGAAGTTCAACAGGAAATGGACAGGGATCGCGGCAAACGCGGCAACAAAGAACGCGACTGATCTCATCCAATTCGAGACATAGTAGTGGTGCCATCATTTAACCTCGGTGAGTGGCAGTGACCTCATATTGGTGGTGAGCCAAGCTAAGCTTCGAGAAGAAGATCGAGGATGAGGTACTGCAGATGGCAAATCGCACACAACGACGAAAGTGTTCGACGGGACGGTGCTCCAAGCGCGTACTTCCAGCGAGGAGCGGAACCAGGAAGACAGCCGCGACGGCGACTGCTAGAAATTCCAGGAGAAATTGAGTTGCTGCGTAAATTCAGCAGAGGTGGTCGCATCAAAGAGGACGAAAGGAAAGATCTCAGAAAAAGCAACGGGTATTTTTAGAGAAGCAGTGGAAGATGCAGAGAAACAGGACCGACAGGTTATAGTACTCACTTCTTGGCCGACTCATTACACGAAACCTATGGAGGACTTCAAGATCTTCCAACTGTGAAAATTAAAGAAAAGAACATAAATCCAAAGAAGCCTGAGACAGCACAGAAGAGAGTTAGCGCTTTATCAGTCGACCCTGACGGCGTTGAATAACGGTATGGTCTGACAGAGTTGAGATACTGTCTATGTGTGAGAACCTTTACATCCGGCACTATGGTCAAACATATACGTGAGTAAACCATCACTCCAACAACAAAAAGAAAGTGCACTTTCAGTATTAATAAGCAAGGTCAGACATCTCCCGCAACAAATAAATGAAGGAATCGCCCCACAGAGAGTCGGTTTGAGAACTGAAATGACCAGATTGGGTTGTCAAACGATTTGGACTCTAGCTGCGAGGCTCAGCTGCTGGAGGGAGAAGGGGGGCTATGGAAGATATACAGTGTGGCTGGAAGGAATCAAAACTGCTCTCACGAGTCTACAAATTGGTCACTAAGGTAATCACCAACAGACTGTTAACAAGGTTGAAAGAACAACAATACAGAGAATGGGCAGAATCATAAAGAAGCTGCAACACTATTATTGATATCTTTATCTTAAGTCAACTCTTCCAGCGCGCCATGAAATTCCAGCTCCCTGTATGCATAGTCTTCGTCGACTGGGCGAAAGCGTTCAACAGTTGCGAATACAACGCAGTGTCGACTGCACTGACAGAACAATGTCTCAGCACCCGCCGCATCAGCTTGCTAAAACAGAGAACTTTGGCCGTTTCACAAACAACACACGTTCGACACCTCTTTCCTGATTCCAGTAGAGAAGAGCATGGAACAACTGGATGTCAACTCCGTCATACTGTTCATTGTTGTTTGGAAGTGGTGTTCCGGAGGATAAATTGGAAAGTTTGTATTCACATCAGCGGCAAACAGCTCAGCCATTGTGGTTTGCTGATGAGGTGGTACTGTTTGAGACAAATACCAGTCAGCTGCTAGGTATGTTGCAGGAACTCGATGAAAATAGAACCGAATTCAGACTGCGAACCAATCGCTTGTAATTCTGCGACCGGATAACCTGTTGAAGGCTCAGGTAATATTATATTAAAGGCGAGAAGATGGAATAAGTCGACAAATACATTTGCGTGATCCAAGAGATTAGCATCTTCAGACTGGAGAGACTGAATAGTGAAAGGGGGCAAATTAACGCGCGCTCCGTTCCATCAAGGAAGTCCTGTTCGCCAACATCAGGAAAGAAACTCGCGCCCACCTCTTTAATTCTACTGTCGAGCCAGCGATGTTCTGTGACTGTGAGACATGGTCACTCATGAAGGCCGAATAACGGCAGACACCTTTCATCGAGAGAGCCACGTAAAAATGAATGCCGGTAATCTCACATGGCGACCACATCCCTTAGCCTGTGATCGACAGCAGACGGGACGGAAGGACGTCGTCGTCGAAAGCAGAAAGGCAAAGCTGCAGTGGACGGAGCACGTATTTCGGCTTACCGACGGGAGGTGGTCAGTGATGATCGACGACTGGAGGAATAGTCCCATTGGTCACTCACCACAACGGTAAGAAGACAGTATCAAGAGAGCGGAGCTGGAAACCGCAAGGAATGGCGAACATGTGGCCGGTGCGATTCAAGTGAATTCAAAGGGAAGCTGGTAGTAGTCTAACTGCGCAACTGTTTGTCTGGAAAGAACCCGCGGTCACTTTAGCACAATCGAACTTATGCACTTATCAAACTTATCGAACTTATTATCTTATGCACTTATCGAACTTACGGTCTTCCATGCGGAGTCCAGCTGAACCTCGATGTTGCACGTTTAGAACTACCCAGAATCATACTTGGTAGATGGCAATAATTTTTGGTAAATAAAACAGAAAAATGCTTGTTTCTTGATCACACTTTGCCTTCTGTATTGCTACATGGCTAGAAGGCTGAAAGCTGTTGTATTAATTAAAGTCCGAGAATGGCGTTTCTCCTCTATCAACGAGCTAAAAGTTTTAATGCGCCGTGAAGCAACAATGGCACAACGTCATGGTCTCATTTTTGTTTGATATAATGGAAGTCTGGGAACAGCCACTTGCTGCAATTCAAGATCACCGTG